TTAAACTTTTCACCCAAGTAAATAACCAAAAACGTTTACTTATTTTCTACTTTTTCTTCTGTGACATTACTAACACAAAGTAATGGTATTTAAGGCTTTCTGGAAAGCAAAACTCATTCGTTTTAAACGCTTTGATCGATCATACAGTGATCGAAAGAGCCTCGAAAACTTAACCACCGCAATGCGTTCTGCTGCCGTTTTTCCTCAACGGAGCTAAAGGCTCAAGTGATTTCCGGCGTCCGTTTGTCGTATGTCGTGTGTGATTTGACGTCTATAAACTTTTCACATTTTCCACTTCCTCTGGAACCGGTAGCCAAATGAAGAGCAAAGCTTTCTTTCAAGGGGAGGTAATTAGGACATAAATGTTGATGATTTCGTTGCATTTCGAATCTCAAAGATGAAATCCTAAATATTTATCACACTTTGTAAACTAGTTCTCAATCTGAATGTAGACCAGCAATTAACTAAGCATGGTGTAAGGAACCCTATGTTATCAAGTTCCATGCAAGTTTATCTATATAAGACACGCTTAACTGCAATAAACAAAGTATGATGATTAATTAAAATATCTTCGATTCAAGAAACACTGTTCTAGAAAATACAAAACTTGCATGGAAGTTTTCTTTTATAATGCACATATAAAATTCAGTGAACGTAGGCGAGGCGACAATAGGAGTTAAAGTTTAACACAGGAAAAGGGCAAATCATGAAAATAACTTCCTTTCAAGAACAACAGAACATAATTCCTCTCAAGAACAACGTAACAGACCATAATTTGATATGATAATAATAGCATCCTCTGGTAGTGTACATATTCAAATTTATTCAAATCATGGCCTCCGGGGGTAAGTTGAGACCGCCAAATAAAATTGAAGTTATACATGAGGATATTTTAATGAACAAGATGTGTTTGTGAAACACTGATGACCTCGTACGGCAACTTATAGCAAAGACTAAACTTTCTCAAATGCAAATCAAATATGATGGTACCCAAAGTAAGGTCTCGAGGTATATACCTGTGAAATATGAAATCCCAAGCAGCAACCATTGAATAGATATGGAAAAGGCTTTTTTTTCAAAAGTATGTCAAACGTCAAGGTCAAGGTCAATGGACCTCCAAAAACATCAGAGGTGGGATAAAAAAAGGAAGGGAAAAACCCCGCACAATTCAGTGTGTAAATAATGGCCTAACAATTAGTTTAAAAAACATCAGTCAGCATTTGACTTAATGATAGTTTGTATTTACTGAAAAGGTCATTGTATCGACCATAAAACTTACGAAATGATGACTTCAAATGAGACTGTTGATATCCTTGTTTCATCAACTTGCTTGCCTCGTTTTAAAAGTTGTCCATACGTAGAACATGATTTTGCGTATCAAATCAACTGAAAGACATAAATCCAATACGCAGGTGATAAGGGTACATTGCTGCATCAGGTTTATTATAAAGCTTTGTTATAAGGTTATCATTAACGTCACTTTCTAGTAAAATCATAATGTGTATCTCGCTAGGGAGAAGATAATTGACATCTCCCGGCCACAGGCACTTGGGGTATGGACCCCCCCCCCCCTTTCCATTTTTTTTTCTTTTTAAATCTAGGGTCGAGTCACCTTTTTCCTATTTTTGAATTCTAATATGCACTGTATGTTATCAATAATGTAACTCTTTTGTCTCTATAAGCTGTTTTTAAATATCTCGTTTTCGATTGATACATAAAAAGAGAGAAGGCTTGCAACTCTTTTCTCATCGTCTGCCTCACCTCGCTTAAACTTCGCCTGATTATTTATCGAAAGAATAAGAAAACTTGGAATATGCATACATCAATAAATTCGTTATACATTCTTCTTCCTTTTCATATTTCCATTCAATTTTTATGTGCCCCCGATTTGTAAATATTTCGATTAAATCACCTGCATCTAGGGTAAATTTTGTTGATGTGCACCAGCTGGGTAACTGGGTAAAACTCCAAGGTCAAGGTCAAAAAGTCAAATATGGTGGTACCCAAAGAAAGGTCTTGTCGAATGGAATACACATGTGAAATATGAAAGCCATAGCTCCGACCAATCAAAAATTATGGACAAGTATAAAGTTTTTGCGGACAAACAGACAGCTAGACGGACGGACAGGGCAAAAACTATATATCTCCGAATCTTCAAAACGGGGCATAAAAATCTTCTTCTCAGAAAAGCAGGTCATTGATCAGTTAATATTATTATCATTTGCCATCAAAAGGAGTGAAGCAGTATATATTATTCTAAATCACAAAAGGATCCATTCTTTTTATTTCCACCATATTTCAAACTAAAATCCACACCTTGTATATCTTAGATATATACATTGACTATTTCTTCTAAACTTTTAATTACAAAGAACTCCACCCTGCCTAGATATCGAACATCTGAAACAAAATCCTCCAACATGTTCATGTTCTTCTTAACTACAACTGTAGGCCTGCTGTACACTTCATTACTGGTGATGTAAACATAGTTAATACTAACAAGTTTGGCTTTCCAGAAAGCCTGAAATGTCATCTCTTTGGCTTCATGAATGTCACAGAATAAACAGTGGAATGTTGCATAATTTTCTCAGCTGTTACATACAGTAGTATCTCTTTTGAAAAAAAAAGGGGGGGGGGGGAGAAATCGACGACTTATCTGAACAATCTGAAAAGGGAAAAAAGGGGCTGTCCAATCTCAATATTTTCTTTTCTTGGAAAGGGGGGGGGGATAACAACTCTTCCGACAAACATATTTTATATTGTAATACATTCCCATGGGATGATTTGACGGACCATACTGCAACAAAAGATGGAAGAGGGAGCGAGGGCGCGCCTTTCAATGAACTTTATCAATGATTGGGGAAAAAGTGGAGGGGGAAGCGACCCTCCTGATGCTACGTGCCTGTATTATTTTACCTGTTGTAAATATACTTTATTCATTTAAAATATTTGTTGTACAATGTAAAAAAAAAAAAAACCAAACCACTGAGAAATATTCGTAAAAATTAGTTAACAATTATTCCGCAAGAAGATGGATAAAACCTTAGTGTTCCTTTTGACTTTAGTTCTTAATCGCCTACTACAGCATCAAAGAAGTTCTTTAAAAAGCTCTAACTTAAATTAATCCGAACCTCAATTAATTTCCACAGATTTTCCTTATTTTTCTTAATCGTATCCTCTGAAGTGACTTGGCCATCGAGCCAACGGGAATATCAAGGGAAAAATTGAGACACTCCTGCATCATATCCTTCTGCTGCCCATGCAGATTCATGTTTTAACGCTATATAATGTATACTACATGTATAAGTGTACGATCCTGGAAAAAAAAGCATGCATATATAGAAAGGTAATAAAATTGAAACGTTACCATTTAAAAATTAAGTATTTGCATACTGAAAAGAACCCCAATCTGCCAACATCAATTTTGTAGGCACAAATTTTATAATTTTGGCTTTATTTCAAGAATATGAGGAGTGATTTTTTTTTATACTTTTTCCTATTAACTAAAAAGCAAATTAGAATTCCATAAAGAAAATGATAACAGTTGCTTTATTTACTAATCCTTAAAATCTGAGCCAGGTATAGAAAATTGTGTCTTTTCCTAAAACTTTTCGGGAGGGGTAAATTTAAATGAATAATAATAAAAAAAAAACATCCGAGAAAATACTCATAATGATTCTTAATGATTTTTATTCCAATGCCTGCAGAACTGAGTTACTTAAATCAGAGACAGTGACGTAGCATCGTTTTTGAAAGTGGGGGGAGGGGGGGGGGCAACCCGAGGAAAAAATTTTCAAGACTTACCTGAAAAAACTAAACAAGTAAAAAAAAAAGGAAAATTGTGCAAACTCGAAAATCCTATTTCGTGTGTGTGGGTGTGTGTGTGTGTGTGTGTATGTGTGTGTGTGGAGGGGGGGGGGGTGTAGGTTCCAACTTCTTTAAGTACCAATTTTTTTTACTTTAAACACTGCATTCCCCTTATATTACCCTTATTTGACAATACTGCAACCAAAAGTGTGGGGGGGGGGGGCAACCGAACTTTCAATGAACTCTATATTTAGAAATCGTGTCATCATCAGGTCATTTGCCAGACCACCAGCTTACCGATGGCAGCTTACACTAGGACTTCACTTCCGGATTACAAACCCGAGGGAGATGACAATAGTGACCTTATATCTATTTTTTAAAGGGCCAAAATTTAGGGAACCCCGATCTTTCAACTGGAGTCATAATTTCATAAAAGTTATGAATTCTGTGGAAGATTACGCCGGTCGATTGGTCAAACTCTCTTTTAAAATATTTTTCTCAGGAACAGCATAGGGACACAATTATTGATATCAACATATAAGCATCCTCGGGTAGGGCGGATTCAGGTTTGTTCAAATCATGACCTTATATGTTCGGTGTAGTCAAAATAAAAAAAATTAAAGATTTACATTTGATCTTATAGGAAAATATTTTTTTTAAAAACATATATATAACCATATATAACCAATGTTGTGAATATCCAAGCATCCTTAGGTTGCGTAGATTTTAGTTTGTTCTAATCATGGTATCTGAGGTAGGGGGTTGACCACAATCGGAGATACATATAGTTCATAAATGATAATATAAAAGAAAAAAATCTTTAAAATTTTCTCAAGAACAAAAGCAGGGTTCCTCAGGAAGTGCAAATCAAGAGAATTGAGTAAGAGGCCACAAGGAGGGGGGGGGGGGTAAACTTTTGCATAGGAATATAAAAGAAAAGATCTTTTTTTTTTTACTCTATTGCCATTTTTATGATATAGAAAAAAATCATCAATCCTTTAAGAGTTCTTCATTTGTGAATGGTAAAATTTGGATTTTTGATATACTGAGCATTTTGATATACATGTATTAAGCATAGGAACTGATTTCTTGAAATTTATAAGAAACGTTCGAATTTCGCGCTTTTTATAAAAATTTCATTTTATAATGGAAATACTGATAGTTATGAAGAATTTTACAAAAATATTTCTCAGATAAATCATCCTGCAAAGCTGCCGGTGGGATTTGTCAGGATAAAAGAAAGCAGTGCTTAACGGGTTCTTATATTTTTGGTCATTGTGGCAGTGAATCCCACATAAAGAAATGCTGTCTATCAAAATATCGAGGTATGAGTTAATAATTTTCTTTTATTAGTCTACAGCAAAAATAACTGATGAATTGACAAAAAAAGAAAGAAAAATGTCTCTTAAATGTATTGTTCTTCAAAAAAAAAAAAAAAAAAAAAAAAAAAAAAAAAAAAAAACTTCACCGGGCATGATAATTTGTTTCTATGCATGCCCAGGAAATGTAACTTTTACAGTTGATAAACAAATCAAAAACTGTTAAAAAAATTAAAATTCATACTGGAAAATTCAAATTAAGTATTAACGACATTTTCAATGTTATTAAAAAAAATCGCCTCATGTTACTTAATATTCAGATCAAGACACCGGTGACTGTCCTGGCCTACCAATTATGTCACGTGACACATGGGGTGCTTCTGATCCTGCTTACAGTGTAATAAACATGACATTACCCGTAAAGATATCCTTTATTCACCATACACACAAGGACCAGTGTGAAGGCACAGAATCTTGTTCAGGAAGGCTTCGAGGAATACAAAGATATCAAATAGGAAACGGTAAGGTCATGTTTTTGTGTTGCATGCAAGGTCATTAAAAAAAATAAAGAATTGCTTTCTCTGTGAGTTTATCGAAATCTGTAAGAAGTACTTTATTTACTTAGGTTTAATTGATACAGCATACATAGCTTTCAACTTTACTTAAGGAATGAATTTAATAGCTACCCAATTTATACGGTACAAAGTGGGTTGGGGCCACAGGCACTTGTTTCGTATACGGGGAACCCCTACTTATTTTTACCACAAGGTACCTAACTCAATTTCAGGCATCCCCGCTTCAAGCTCGTATTTTGTTGATATATCAATCATTAAGGTCAAGATCTAGAAAATCAAAGGTGCCTAGAGATTTTTCAAACTTGAGAAACAAGTACTTTTAATGATCCTTTACAAATATAGCATGGTAAAATAAGGTGTATCGGGACATAATTTGTAGGCAAACTCAAGGAAAAACCATATTTTAAACTCATATTTTCAATGAAAAATGAAGGAAATCAGGTATAAATTTTGGAGTTTTTACCAACTCGGAGAAAGGAAATGTATCCAGAATGCCTACAGTCTTCCAGGAAACGGTTTTTCATATCTTCTTGACCACTGCTTTAAAATGATATTAAATTTGACATAGGTATCGGGGTTACTTTAAACATGATTTCAAATTAAATTTCATGAAATTGCTTCATTTTCTATATAACTCTATTGTGATAGGGTGATTTATTTCATATTTTAATTATAATTATATTTCAGGATTACATTAATTCAGTTAAATTGTCATATTTATTTCTTTACAGCATTTCATTTATTGAATAAATCCACATGGAATTATTTACATCAATCTGTGTTTCATGAGTTATTTATAGATGTATGACATCACAGTGGTCATTTTAACCCCTGTCCCTTTTCTATATATATCTTGTGTAGTGTCCAGGCCAACTTGGATTTCATTGGTTGGTTAGTTTCCCTCTCTTTTGGTTTTTACTTAGTTAATTACCTTTGTTGGAGATCTTGGTCTGAGTAGACATATTGGCTTTTTGATATTTTATGACTTATTTATGACAATGACCAAGACAGGACAGAATGTAAGTTTACTTTTACTGATTTCATTATTTCTATATAATTGTTTATCTGCTAAATTACCAAATAATAATATTCTAATATAAAGTATGAAAGTTCAGTTTGTGTGATTATTTTATGACTTTGTAGAGTATTAAGTATATTTTTTATCTGTGAGAATAAGTGTGCAATACAGTAAAGTTATATTTATATTATTCATACACAGATCACTGAATAGAGTACATGTAGCTGTGTTCAGCTTTGTATATATTTGGAGTTGGCTCTATATCACATATAGGTATGATGTATATATATTTTGAATATTTTCTATATAATTATATTATTCTGGAAGAGTTCAGTATCATTTGATCTCATTGTTTTATCTATATATTCCAGAGTGTTCATACTTTGTACATATTATTGATTAAGAAAGATAACTCTTAATGTTTTATCTATGAGCACAATTAAAGGGAAATAACTCTTCATTTGACCGTGCTATCTGGCAAGTAATCTACATGTATGTTTTGTTATAAAATATTTATGATTGTTTATATATATTTCAGAGCTGTGATAAAACTGATACTACTGATACTACTGATAATACACTTATCCACAACAACAACATAGTGTTTGTATTTATTATTCCTTAAACGAACCCCATTTCACTATTACAACCATAAAGTACGGGAAAAATTAGGTTAAATTCTATTATGACGTCATAATGGATCTAGCACCAAAAAGACAGTCTAAACTCATTTACTAGATCTTGACCTTAACCTACTTTAAAATGACATCGTTCGCTTCGAAAGACTTTTTTCTTGTCAAATTAATCGTTTCGGACGTCTCTGGTCGAGCCTCTTTATTGTAAACTACTCATTTCTTCCTTACGAAAGCCTATTAGGATCAAACTACGGTAAAAAAAAAAAATTAAAGGCGTTATAACGCGAAAAAAGGCATAATAACGCCTTTTGAAAAGGCGTTAAAACGCGGAAAAAGGCGTAATAACGCAAAAGGCGTAATTACGCCTTTACAAAAGGCGTTATAACGCGAAAAAAGGCGTAATTACGCCTTCTAAAAAGGCGTTATTACGCCTTTCCAAAAGGCGTTATTACGCTTTTTAAAAAGGCGTTATTACGCCTTTCCAAAAGGCGTTATTACGCCTTTCTAAAAGGCGTAATTACGCTTTCTAAAAAGGCGTTATTACGCCTTTCCTAAAGGCCTTATTACGCTTTTTAAAAAGGCCTTATTACGCCTTTCCAAAAAGCGTTATTACGCCTTTTCAAAAGGCGTTAATACGCCTTTCCAAAAGGTGATATTACGCCTTTCCAAAAGGCGTTATTACGCCTTTCCGAAAGGCGTTATTACACCTCTTATTTTTCAATACATGACTTACTTAGCCCACCCTGGGGATGATTATAATTAGATTTCCAGGAAAAAAGATTTTTAAATGTGTAAAATATTTTCAGTTTTAAACCAACTTAGTCCTTCTCTGAAGCCAGACACCTTTACCAAGGTGCAAGGATTTCAGAAATTTGGTTGAAGGCTAATTGCTCATTATATCTATGCAAATAGTTTGCCTGTTTTTTTTCCAAGAGGAGAGAAAAATATTTCAAATTTGACATGAATTTTTAATACATGGCTAGCAAAGCCCAAAGCTGGCTCTGCCTATATCCTGGATTTTCAAAAGTAGAGTGTTGACTTCTCTTAATACGCATGCAAACAGCTGTCTGCGAGATGTGCAGGAATATATGAAATACTATAATTTATAATATAATTTTTAATATTGAAACTATAATCTAAATATTGCATAAATAAAGGTGGCTTTGGTTCAATCTTTCATATATCTATTATTTTAAAATAACGCCTTCCCATTTTTGGATATAACTCTTTTTCAAACAAACAGGCCGGTAGTACGAATGCGAGTGGGGGTGTCCCCCCCCCCCCCTTTTTTGGAATTTTGGGAGAATAGTCTTGCTATAGTTTAAATATAAAAAATCATTTATTGATTACTTGGTCCCTTAACATTTTATTGCAGTATGGTTAAACTCGGACAAGTTGCAATTAAAAAAAGTTTTACCAAAAAGTAAGAAAAAGATTCCCCTTTAGGCAGTGTCAATTTTATGGGAGGCTGCCCCCCCCCCCCCCCCCCTTCAAAATCACGGGCCTGTCAAAGACATAATAATGGCTCTTCAAAAGGCATAATAACGCCTTTTGGAAAGGCGTATTAACGCCTTTTGGAAAGGCTTATTAATGCCTTTTGGAAAGACGTAATAACGCCTTTTGGAAAGGCGTAATAACGCCTTTTTTCGCGTTATAATGACTTTTGGAAAGGCGAAATTACGCCTTTATTTGCGTTATTACGCCTTTTTCCGCGTTATAACCCCTTTTCAAAAGGAGTTATTACGCCTTTTTTCGCGTTATAACGCCTTTTAAATTTTTTTAACGTAGTTTGATCCTAATAGGCTTTCGTACTTCCTCGAAAATTACCTCGATACAAAATAAGACTTTGAATTGGATTCAGAGACTTCCGGTTGGGGTTATAAATGAAAGATAAAACCAGAGACCTCGGAAAGGAATACTCGGAAGTCTCTGGATTTATCCTACATTGATTGATAAATTAGTACATGTGTAAAAATTGAAACAATACACATTATTTTACGAAAGTTATACATACAGTTGTAAATAGATTGTACATGTATATGAAAGGCGCACGGCCCATTTTGATTCCTCCATGATAACGTCAATAATATGGATTTTGATTTTTATCACATATTCCTGGACACACACTATGTTTTCTTTATTATGCTATTCTGCTAATAAATTTTGATATTTATTACATAAGATTTATAGACCATAGTTGAGAATAATTTTTAAATTAAAAAAAATATTTGATAATTTACGAGCGTCATTAGTATTATAAACACTTCGTATTTAAAAAAAAATTCAATGACGTCGACCATTGTTATTAGTCAACGTATATTTTACCGATTCAACCATCACTAGTTGGATATTTAAAGACCCAACTGGCCATCAGTTGCAGGCGTGGATCCGGGAATTTTTTCCAGGGGATGGGGGGTTCCATCCCAGTCAAAAAAAAATTCCAACCTAGAAAATTCTTGACAAGCAAATAAAAGACAAATTAAAAAAAATAAGAAGGAGAAAAACAACGTATATATGGATTATGTCAGATGAAGATTCTGAGTTTGTTGTTTTATTATGCAAATTTTAATATGAGAAAACAACATAGTACAATATAGGCATATTACAGTCATTATACAGGGTGTCCCAGAATATATGATGCAATTTCACGATTCTGTAAAGCCTAATTTAATGAATATTGAAAAACAAATGCATTATAAACATTGCATATACTGTCCAATTTAATTCACCTAATTTGACAGTCATTAAACAGAAAACAGCAAAATGAGTTCACTTTGAAAAATGCTATGGTTTTTAAATGATGCCCTCTAAATGACGTTCTCTCTGTGTAATGATAATGTCTAGACATTGCACAAAATTCCTTAACTTGAGACAACAGTCTCTGTCTCGGTAGTAACTTCTGGATTTTCATCAGAGGTAAACCTTTTATAAATGTTAAGGATTCTGGTTTGGGTTAAGCATCAGTATTCTAAGACTATGATTGATAATTACAGTTTCAAAATGAGGATAGCTAGCTCTTTTCATAATCCATTTTGATTGAAATTGCAGTTTTTTGCAAAAGTTTTATATAAATTTGTTAGGTTGCAATTTCGTAACTGTGAAATTTGTTTGGGAATATTTTGTTGCTATAAAATTGAACTCATTCAAATATTTTTGAGACATAATATATCAAAGAAATTGGCCAAGGGATGTGTTTGTGCCAGGTA